AAATTTAAAAAAATAATAATTAAAAATATTTTTTTTAAAAAGGACATTTTTTTAAAAGGTACATGAGCCAAGTATTTTTTAACAGCAACCTGATCTACATGTTCTATGATTTATTTTCTATTCTAGAATTATCATTGAAAGAGCAACCCAGTGGTCAACCACTATATAAATTTAATTGTGTGCTCCGTCCAAAGACAGGTACATGAACCAAGTATTTTTTAACAGCGACCAGAATTACATTAATGTTCGGTTTTAGTATTATTATTGAGAGGGCACCCCAGTGGTCAACCTCTCGTCTTTATTAGATATGTATATTGTTAACATTGCTGGCGTATATATGTTGCAGGAATGCCCAAGAAAACCGATATTCACTGAAGATTATATCTTCAAACTCAAGTGAGAATTTGATGTCATACTGCTTGATATCAAGCAGGCCGTTGGATCAAATCCGGGAGTAGTTTGTGTTAGCACACGTTATAAACCATTACATCACGACTGACACATCAGCCAACTTAAAAACATTCTGTTGCCTATACCCATCGCAGTGCACAGTCATAAAAAATAGTCGTTTTTAATTATAATTTTTTTAAATTGTAAATTTATCAAAACAATGTCACTACTGCATGATATCAGGTTGTCCGAATCGCCCTGAAGTACCTTGTTGACGCGTGCAGTACTTTACTATATCTGTTGTAACTTTTAAACCATTCGATTAATATGAATGAAGTATACGGGAGGCTTATTCCAAATTAAATAATTTACAACTTTTACTAACAAAAAAAGTCCGTAGAGCAACTCGATATACTCTAACTCTTTTTGTGTGTAGACTATATATAAATATTTGATATATATCTAATAGTGTTGGCGTATATGTTGTTGTTGCAGCAATGCCCAAGAAAAGCGATTTTTACTTAAGATTATATTTGAGATCTATAACTTATTTGATATCATACTGCTTGATATCGAGCTGGCCGATGTCGGATCAAATCCGGGAGTAGTTGATGTTAGATACATCACAATTGACACATGTTGACTTTCCAAGAGTTATAGATATTGCCTTTACACATCGCAGTGCAGAGTCGCAAAAATCACTTTTTTTAATTATAACAATATTTCTATCAAAGTGGAAACTGATGTCACTATTGCATGATGCCAGGTTGTCCGAATAGCCCTGTTGATGGGTGAATTACTTTACTATTTTGTAATTTTTAAACCATTCGATTAATATGAATGAAGTATACGGGAGATTTGTACAAGATTAAATAATTTACAAGTTTTACTAACAAAAAAGTCCCTAAAGCAACTAGATATACTCTAACACACTTCTTTTTGTGTCTATTTTATATATAAATATTAGATATGTATATCTAATAGTGTTGGCGTATATGTTGTTGTTGCAGCAATGCCCAAGAAAAGCGATATACACTTAAAATTATATTTGAGATCTATAGCCTATTTGGTATCATACTGCTTGATATCGAGCTGGCCGATGTTGGATCAAATCCGGGAGTAGTTGATGTTAGATACATCACGATTGACACATGTTGACTTTCCAAGAGTTATAGATATTGCCTTTACACATCGCAGTGCAGAGTCGCAAAAATCACTTTTTTTAATTATAACAATATTTCTATCAAAGTGGAAACTGATGTCACTATTGCATGATGTCAGGTTGTCCGAATCACCCTTTTGATGCGTGCTTTATTTCACCCTATTTCTTGTAATTTTTAAAACATTCGATTAATATGAATAAAGCATACAGGAGATTTGTACAAAATTAAATAATTTTCAAGTTTTACTAACAAAGAAATCCCTAGAGCGACTCGATATACTCGTAACTCTCTACCATTTATGTGTAGACTATATATAAAAATTAGATATGTATATCTAATAGTGTTGGCGTATATGTTGTTGTTGCAATGCCCAAGAAAAGTGAATTTAGCTTAAAATTATTTTTGAGATCTATAACCTATTTGATATCATACTGCTTGATATCGAGCTGTCGGATGTTGAATCAAATCCGGGTGTAGTTGATGTTAGCTATATCATGACTGACACATCAGCCAAGTTGACATTCAAAGAGATAAAAATATTGTATTGCCTTTACCCATCGCAGTGCACAGTCATAAAAATAGTTATTTTTAATTGTAAGAATATTTCTATCAAAGTGGAAACTGATGTCACCATTGCATGATGCCAGGTAGTCTGAATCTGTATACGGAATTAAATAATTTGCAACTTTTACTAATCAGTCATAATCTTAATAGGGGAGACTGGGTACCGTTGCTATACTGATTTTGAGATAAGGTTCAAAGGAAGAAATATAAAGTATGTTCAAACAAGTTTCTAAAATTGCAAATTGAATACTGTGCATATAAAGTACTTAATAGGAGTAACTTAAAGTTATCTACCTACATACATATTTGTGACTTCTAACCTATTTGATATCGTACTGCTTGATATCGAGCTGGCCGTTGTTGGATCAAATCTAACTGACCAGTCAAAACCCTTATAGGGGAGACTGGGTACGGTTGTACCATACCTATACTGATTTTGAGATAGGGTCCAAAGGGAGAAAGATAAAGTATGTTTGTTCGAACAAGTTTATAAAATTGCAAATTGAATCCTGTGCATATAAAGTACTTAACAGCAATAACTTAAAGTTATCTACCTACATAAATATTTGTAACTTCTAAACCATTCGATTAATATTGATGATGTATTCCGCGAATTTGTAGTGAATTAAATAATCTACAATATTGTCTGATATTATAATGCTCTACAGCAACTCTGTATACTCATAAAATACTATGAAAATTAAAAATACATACAAATGACAAATATATATGTATGTCTGTGTATACATATGTATGTATGAATGTATGTATGCATATGTATGTATGTATATATACATATATATGTATGCACATATATAAATATTTTCGATAATGAAGACCTCCCAAGAGAGAAGAAATTCAAAAACAAAAGATGAAGATTTTTTGGAACGTTTTTTCTTTGCTTTTAAATTCATTCATTCATTTTATTTTTTATTTATTTTAAGATTTTTTGTTCCGTCCGAACATTCTTTTGTTTTTTCATCGTCTCGGAGATAATTCTAATAAATCTTTTTTCTTCTCTTTTGGAATCAGTGAATCATTTATAAAACATATATATGGTGGAAATAAGAATAATGCTTAATACGATTTCTCGCATAATACGCCACTTTACATTGATCGCTGCACTTTGACATGTATTGCATCTCTTTGAATTATTTTGATCTTACTTAACTTTCTTTTTTAAAGTTTTGGTCTCATCTTTCCCTTTCTATTACAATTTATGAGTATACAGAGTTGCTCTAGGGTGTATTGTTGTTAGAAAAAATTTTAGATCAATTAATTTTGTACAAGCTTCCTGAACACATCATTCATATTAATCGAATGGTTTAAAAGTTATAATGCATACAACAAATAGTAGCGAGTTAATTTACGATTGAAGTCGCAGCACTATAATTGTATTCTTATTTTCAGATGCATTTTTAAAGTATACCGAGTTGCTCTAGACTCTAGAGCATTATAATAAAAGACAATCTTATAGATAATTTTATTTTCTACAAATCTCTCTCACACATCATACATATTAATCGAATTCAAAAGTTACAAGAGAAACAGTAAATAAATGCATAGGCTCTTGAGAACCATATAAATTTACGGTTTAAAATTTTCTGTTTTCCAATGCGTTTTTAAAGTATACCGAGTTGCTCTAGAACATTATGGAAAAACACGATCTTATAGATAATGTCTCTATCTACATATCCCTCTCACACATCATGTGTTGCAGCAATGCCCAAGAAAAGCGATACTCACTTAAGATTATATTTGGGATCTAGTAAACCTCAAGTGAGAATTTGATATCATACTGCTTGATATCGAGATGACCGATGTTCAATCAAATCCCGGAGTAGGTTGTGTTAGCACACGTTCTTAACCATTACATCACCACTGACAAATCAGTCAAGTTGACTTTCTAAGAGTTAAAGATATTCTGTTGCCTTCACCCATCGCAGTGCACACTCATGAAAAGTTTTTTTTTTAAATTATAAATAAATTTTTATCCAAGTGGAACCTAATGTCATTACTGCATGATATCAAGTAGTCCGAATCGACCTGTTGATACGTGCACTACTTTTCCCTATCTCTTGTCCATATCAATCGAACAGTTAAAATGTTACAAGACACAAATACTACAAAATAATTCATCCAGTTACTCACCGTCGCAAGTGGGGCAGCACTCCCCGTCCTTGGGGGGCCGTGGGTTCTCGCAGGGCGTGTAACAGGTGACCCTAGACGATGTGACGACCCCTGCCTCGCAGGACAGGGACACGCAGGGGTCCTTTTTGTCCCGCCAGGAGGAGTCGCTGGGGTAACGGGCCCCCTCGTAAGTGCACCCTGAAAGAAATATAAATTGGGTAAAATAAAAATAAATAAAAAATTGGGTAAAACAAATACTAATGGGCAATTCTGCTATAATAGAGCCTATTACATAGTGTTGTCATGGCATCACCATCTTATGCTTGTTTATTAATAGTGAAAATTGTGATACCTGCATCATCGCGGATTCTGTTATCATAAGATTCTTCCTTGCTTGTTTATATGAAAAATACGCATGCTAGCAAATAAATAGACATCTTCACAATTTTCACTGCCAATAAACAAGCATAAGATAGCCTTGCCATGACATGGCAGCTATGTTATGGCAGAATTACCCCAGAAATGTGTAATCGTTTTTTGAGATCTTTACAGTGTTATGTCGCATACCCAAAAGTGTTGCCGTTTGGCAAGTTGCTCTTTTAAACAAATTAAAACTTCAACCAACTTTAACATTATCTTATATTATAATATAAAACTAGTGGGGTATGGCATAGTGCCTTAAGGCAAATTGCTGGAACTTCCCGTACCAAAAATTTAAATTTCTAAAAAAAACTAAAAATTTTGAATGAGATTTTTCAAAATTTTGAAAAATTAGATTTTTTTATATTCTGAAAGTTTTTAACTTTTTTCAAAGCATCGTGTTGCGTAGCTGTTTAAGAGACGAAATATCGAAGCGCGTAAACGCCGCTTCGCAATCTTACGGGATAAACTTTAGTTCTAAACCTATAGAAATGTAAATAAAATTTATACTCATTATTAAAATCTCTATAAAATATCTGATAATTTGATATGCATATGTCTAATGATCATTTTAGGCAGCCAAATGAACTTTTTTATTGGATCTCTAAAACTGCTACACCTGCCCTCTTTGCTTCGTCCATATAAATAAAATGATTTTTGAATATCTGCTACCTGAAAAATCGTCTTAAAGGAGTTGTACTTAATTATAATTTTTTATATTATATATGGTAAATAAATATAATATATTTACAACTTTCTCGAATTTATTACATTTTCATGTTGTACAACTTGTAATGTTTAAGCCTAACCTAAAATGTTTATACAAACTATTATAGATATAATTTATTATATATGTATATATAACTGTAAGTGTATATATATTGAATTGATGTTAATAAAAGAAATATTTGTTACCTTTGCATTTATAACAGCATTCATTTTTGGCTTTGACGATTTGCATATAACAGTTGTCGACAGGCGGGCACTCGTACTCGGGCTGACACTCGACGAACCCGTTCTGTCGAAATAAATACCGAAAATAAATTAAATATTATAACATAAATAAATAAATAAATCAAATTGTATATGTATAGATTTTGTTTCATCATGTAATTATTTGTGATATAATAAATTGTTGCTAAATTTGAAAATTTTTGTTAAACAACAAAACCTGCAGCCGCCATCTTGGTTTTACAAAATAACACAATTTTTTTAAATTTGATTTGACCAATTAAAAATAATTAAAATATATATTGTAATCACTACTGGAATGTGATTCTCTATTTATCTTCATAAAAATTATACTAAAACACCAATATCTTCCACTAATTAAATAATTTTATTATTGACCAACTTCATAGCCTATTTTTCTCGTCTAGCAGAAATTATTCACCCTGTGCCATAAGCCATCTATCCAATTTATTCACACCAATGACCGTTACATTTAAACTTATAACTACTAACTATTTGTTTGGTATTTTTTGTTATTTTTGTGCAAAAAATACCAAACAATTCAAGACTATGTTAACCGAACATATAAATAATTTAAATCATAGCATAGATTTTTTTGACTCAAAAGTTTTCCATTTTGTAGAGAACTAAAAAAAGATTCGCTGAGGGGCCCTGAACGAAACAAATACGTGGTTTCTAAATAGCGTGTCAAAATTGATTAAAAAATGGCAATATCCCATCGTTTTTTAATTTCTTGTAAATTTTGAACACATGGTAAACACTGCACACAATTCAAGAGCATAGTCTTAAATAGCGTGTCAAAATTTATTAAAAAATGACAAAATCCCATCATATGAATGAAACGTATGAATTTCAAATTTTCTAAAAACTTTCGTACTATTTTTTATTGATGTAATGCCCGATCCTTAAACACACATAATATATATATATATATATATATATATATACTAGCTGACCCGACAGACGTTGTTCTGTACCCACGTCTACAATGTTTCAATATTTTATACTAATATTTACTGCTTAGTTAAAAATAATAATTACTGTTTTTTGAATTACTATTTACACCAATATATGAGTGACGTTGAATGTAGAACTGTTTCAAATAAAATGATTGTTCTCAATTCCCACGGTTAACACTTTAATTATTCATTTAACAAAAAATGTTCAATAAAATTGTATATTAAAAATTATACACTGCGAATTATAGAACAAATTTATTTCCAATAGCTCAATTTATTTTATTGCATTTAAGGGTTATATAGTATTTTTAGTCATACCTGTAGATGTGGATGTATAAATGAATAATTTTTTGTTTATTCACGACTAAAACATTGATTTTCCAAATATATCACACTAAAAATGATCGTCTGCCTTTTTGATTTATGGTCATAGCATAAGATACTCGTGTTGAAAATTGAAATCTTTTAAAAAGTGCAACAAATTCAGAAAGAATTAATATATAGCATTCGCGGCAAAGGTGCAATATCACCTTTTATTTTTCTACCCAAAATAATTGCTTCAATAATGTTGCCTACAATTTTTATAATTTCGTACCATATTTAAACTGGATTTTAGTAATTTTAATATCTAAATTACATTTTTTTCTCCAATAAATCAATATACATTATTGCTTAAGTTTATATTTGAAGTGAATTAATTTTTCAAATCCTGTTCACATGTGCTCTACTCAACTTACGATCAACAAAGTTATTGCTCTGTGAATTTTTTTACTGTGCTCCAATTTACTTGATATTTTGGAAATAGGCTAATCTTTATCTTAAGTTCAGTAGTGAAAACAATTTGTACTCCGTCACCATCCACCGCATTAATTGGATTATTACTCTTTTAATTCTGATTTTATCAGAACATGTAATACACTATTTTAAAGGTGTTTAAATGAGCTACAACTTTCTCTATCATAAATTTTACCGTAACTTCTCTTATTGTGAAACGGCGAAGGGTTAAAGGGCTCGAAAGACCTCTGGTTGGACAGCCGCGCACTCCTTAATTAATACCTCTATCAATATTTGTGTAATAGAAAAATAATAAACAACAATAATTAGTCAGAAAAATACCTCGAATTTTCATATATATATATACTTTTATACGTATTCTTTCAGAGATATTATAATGAGAAATTGGATGTTTTTTTAATGTTTTTTTTTCATAAAATCATGAGTTTTTTGAAAATCGTTTGTACTAAAGTTGTGGTATTTTCTAGAATCCATCAAGATCCCTTAAACCAAGTTAATTCTAGATGGAATACGATTATTTTTAAATTTGGTGGAAATGGCACTGAAAAACTATTTGATTTATACGAAAAAACATTATGTGCGTCTTTTATTTGCATGATAGTTTACTCATTTTACACGTAGAAGTACTCATTTTAAAGCTTATTTTGAGGACTATAAAAACTCATTTTCATATCTAGCCTAATAATGTTCCTAAAACACTATAAAATAGCAATTTATTAAGATTTTAATTGATATAATTTTGTTCATTACATAATTTTCGTTAAAATGTATATTTTTGAAGATATTAGCAAAAAATGATGAAAAACGCAAAAAAGAAACAAACTTTCAGTAGCCAGTAACTTGAAAAGTATTTGCCTTTTTGAAAAACATTATTAAACATTTTTCTCTTATAATTAGTTCTTTTATCGATACCCAACGTTATTTTGAAAAAAGTAAAATTACACCAATGAAAAGAAATGTCATCCACCCGAGAAGTGGTAAAGGAGTCTAAATTGTTTTCACTTCTGAAGAGTAAGATGAACCTAGTTCCAAAATTCCAAACGAAATGGAAAACAGTAAAAAAAGTTCAGACCGAAAGCGCTCCATTGAATAAATCTTCCGTACCCAATGACAAACACATGAATTTTTGACACAATGAAACTTCTAAATAATTTTTTTGTATTGTAACTTAGTATAGTAAGGCAAAACGACTGCAAATTGAATATTTTTGAGCGCAATCACTTATGGCTTGTCTCCATTGCACGAATTCGTACGGCGATTCTGTTCGCAAAGTGCGCAAACAAAATTATTGCAATCAAAAGCAAACCACGCGCACGTCAGACGCATGCGCAGACTATCAGACGCTTGTTATATTATTTGCATCTTATATTAATTTAATTTCTGGCACATCTCAGCTGCTTTTCGGCATTAATAATGTAGAGATTACATTTTCCTTATTCATAATCATGAATTTATTATATTTTAATATTGCCTTAGCCTATAAGTGAATAGAAATGTTTGGCAAATGACAGTCTTCAATTGTTTTTAATGTCAAAGTAAGCTTCAAATATTTTCAAGGGCAAACAATGATAAGCGGTTTTTTGTAATTTTTTCTATTTATTTCTACAATCTAACTATATTTCTATGAATCAAAACATTCTAGAAAATTTCCCGAACAAATTTTAGGAAGATTCATAAAAATCCGAATTATAGTTTAGGAGGAAAAATGAAACTTACATTGTTACAGAAGAATTTTATATATAAGATATATATACATGTATAGCGTATTATATTTACAATATTTGAAGAGTAAGTAATATTTTAAACAAACATAGCATTAATTCAAGTGCCTTTTTGCATCAAAGGATTATTTTAATAAGCCAAAGTCAACAACGAGAAGACATTGTTGCCGTTGCGGAATATATATTTTGTTTGCACACTTTGAATACTCTTAGACACACACTAACATATATAAATTTATGTATTATCAATATACAGTAGAACCCCGTTAAGACGTTTATGATAAAAATCATATCCCGCATAATACGCTACCTTATTCATGTCTCTGCACTATAAAATATATTGTCCTTATCATAATAAGTAAATCTCGTTCAAGGACAGTAAAACCCCGTTAAGACGTTTATGTATGACACCGCATAATACGCTACGTTACGCACATACCTGCAAATACATATTGTCGCGATCATATTACCTAAATCCCGTTTAAAACACGCTTTTAGTCCTATCTCAGATCACAGATTTTCTGATTTGGGATTTTGATGAAATTTTGCATGTTGATTTTGTTTATAGCGAAAATGAACCTCCTAAAATATTATAGGCCTAGGAGACGTGGTTTAATTATGAAAAATAATGTAAGTGTAGGAAAATCGGTTGTGAGCAATACAAGTGTTTCAAACGAGATGGTCAAGTGGTCAAAGCAATGTACTTCTTTAGACTTTTTTTGAAGACGTTATTTTATAAAAGTAATATGGTATATATATATATACATATATATATATATATATATATATATATATAACTATATGGCGTCGTTGGAAATATTGGAACATATGTAAACAACAATTTTGCATAAACAATTAATTAAATAACTTTATTATTGTCTAATGTCAAAGCCCAAGAAAAACCAAAAACGAAATCTACATGACATATTTATACATATTTATATATATACTTATGTATGTATGTATGTATGTATGTATATATAAATGTATAGTACCCGGATCTCTTCACGAATATATGTAGTCGAATAGGCGCCAGGCGCCTAATATATACATTTATACAAAAATATACAAATATATATATATATATATATATATATATACATATATATGTAAGTAAAAGAATTTTTGACTGTATAATAGTTTCCATTACATATCTTAGTCTGGAATGAAATAATGTTGAAAATAGTAATTATGTTTTATATTAGTTTTTATGCAAGCGAAAAATACTTTATATAACTCGTATTATACATTTATATACATATATATTTGTTTGTGTGTTTGTGTTTAAAAAATCTAAACACTGCTAGCAAACTGCTTGAACATAACCTCAAACAAAAATTAATTATAACATTATTAAAATTCAACTTACGAAAAATAAAGATATACGCAGAATAAATTATATACATCTGTAATATTTTTTATTTTTTTATGCTTCTTAATAATGTTATGCCCGACTAGAAGACTATTAATACATATGTCGTAATAATATAAAATGTTTTATTAGAAATATTGAATATATTTTGAATAATTTAAAACCTATAAACATAAACATTAATATATTGTCTGTAATT